CATGAGTGTTCAGTGGAAACTCAAGAGTGTGAGAGGATGGCCTTGCTCTGCTGGCAAGGAACCGCTTTTGAACTGCTTGGTTGCAGGGATATTGGTGTGTGTTGTTCCAGCGGCTCAGATTTAGACTATTGCATGCCTGGGCCATGTGCTACATTCCAGCATTAGGATTGGGAAGCATGCCTGCGGCATCACAGGGTTCAGCCTCGTAAGCAGGTGGGCAGTTCTGGCTCTTTTATAGACTTGGTCTTCAGGTGACTCGTGTTTGGCTTACAGTGCAGTGTGCTGTCCCAGTGAATGGGCATATGGCCACTGCACTGTGCGTAAGCAGTTACAGGCTGACTCCATCAGCTTTCACAACTGTCCTTTTTGAGATCCTGTGCCATCCAGTTGTGTCTGCTAGAATTCCTGAAAATCTGCCATGGAACACCAGTGTGTCAGAACTTTGGGACATTTATGCCTGGTCCTGGTCAATTCCTAACTACGGAAAGCAAAAGCTTTGCAATACTAAATCCCGAGCATTTCCAGGTAGGGCTGGGAAAGGGTTGTCTCTGAAACACGGGAGAGCCACTGCCTATTAGTGCGGGCAAGGCCGAGCCTTGGTCTTCATACCGGGCAGGATCCTTTATGTCCCGCTAGACCATGCTGGGGCGCATAGATAACTGAGCAACATAGATAACTGAGCAACAGCAGTCACCAAACAGGGAAGCGCCAGGATTGCCTTGAGCAGAGTTTGCAAAGTGAATCAAGCCAGAAGTCCAACAGTCTCACTTCCTATTTAAGAAAACTGAAGTGTTATAAAGCATCTTAAAGGTCAACTAACTTTAAAAAAGCATAGGCAATTTACAATGTTCTAGCCTCCAAAAAGTACATTACAGTAAATTTTTGAATTTTCAAAGTACTGTATCCACACTGGCCTTAGGCTTCCTCATATTTCTGGAATCTGCAGCAGAATTTCACTGAAATGCTACACATTCAAAAACTGAAATAGCTTCTAAGCCCAAAAACTGTAATACAAACCTTGGAATTTGAGTGATTGTGTAATGTTCAATTAAAAGTATGTGAGAAATATTTTAATATTCATTTTGGATCTATGTAAAACTCGAACCCAAGTTACACTGGTATTACAGGAGTGGATTTTCATTTATCACCGGTCCCTAGGTAGATGTAGCCTATGATCAACATTCCACTGAAGTTAGTAGGATTTATTTCTTGTGTCAGGTGCTGTATATGAAAACCCAACTGCTGAATGTCCCATTTCCCTCAAAATCATGTGTGCTGAATGTAGAATATATGCAGATTCAACCTATCTGATTTCAGAAAAAAAAAAGCTGGGACAATTTGTTTTGAACTACTAAAATATAAAATGGAGTATGGACAGTGCAGTAGCTTGACTTTTCTCCTCATTGAAAGATGACTATATTATCTTTGTTCACTGTAATAAAATAAAAATTGGTTATGTGCAAGTGGTAAAGTGATTCTATAGCAAATGCAAAGAGGGCTAGAGGGGCATAATTCCAGCATCTTGATCATGTCAACGGATAAGCTGTTGCACTCTCTCCTAGCTGAGGCAGCTGGAAAGTTACTGGGGCCAGCCGCAAGTGCTTTGTCTAAACCAGGGTCCTCAAACATTTTCAGCGGGGCCAGTTGAAAGGTGCTGGTGGGGGGCACGGGCCGGTGAGGAGGCGGGGGTGGGCACACACTGAGTTTTCTCTGAGCGAGTCCAAAAAGATCTCTGCGCAAGCAGGCTGCTGCCTCGCCACCCGCACGCAGCAAGTCCAGAACCTCCGAGGCGGGCTGGATTCGGCCCACAGGCCATAGTTTGCGGATCCATGGTCTAAACCAACAGATGACTATCCGCCTTAGAAGGCAGTCCTCATCTGAACACTTTAAAAATGTCCCTTAGTGCAATGCTATCTCTAGATACGATAACATCAGAAAACTGGCTGTTTGCTCCTTTGGCTGAGATGTTCATGAAATCCTGAAAGTCACGTGTATCGAATATCCCTCATGCATTTGCTGATAGCACTATTTGTGGAACAGATAACCAAAAAGGAAGTGCCAAATTACCAACATGGCAGAACATGTTTTATTTCCTAATATTTTGAACATGACGGTCTTCCGAGTTGGATAGAACATAAGAACCAAAACTAATTTCAAAGGGTTTAGGGGAGAGTTGGTATATGCAGGGCTGGAGAACTCTGTGCTAGCTTGGTCGAGCATCTAGATATTTGAAATAGTTGTATCTGTAAGCTCTAATATTAACCTTTGTAATATTTTTCTTTTATAGATGTAGACCTATAAGAAAGTTATTTTTTTGCACCTGCTTAAGTTTTCCTACAGCTTGTGGAAAGTCATTTGTCACTGTTGGCCAAGTTTGTAAAGCCACTTGTACAGCAAACATATCTTGGCTTATAAGAATCTTCTGAATTAATGTCAGGGCTAGAAAGGATGACTGCATGATGTACCAATCCCGTTGAAGATCAAGCATGAGAGCAATCTGTGCCCTGGACACCCAGCTGCCAAATTTGACCTAAGCCAATAACAGAAACGATCTGCATAAGGAAGTTAATTCCCCAAGGGCTTTGCTTAGGGCCAGACTGGACCAGTTCCAATTTTAATAAAGCATGTGTGTGTAAGAGAAAGGTGTTAAACACATTCGTAGGCATGTGGGAATAAATGCCGAACCCTTCTGTGCTCAAATTTCCCAACCAGACACCTAACTAGTGGTTTTGCTTGCAGTGAGAATCCAAGAACATAATGTGCTTCAAGAGCAAATGGGGGAGAGAAATATGTACACACAAATATATACATACATGAACTGGGCGCAATCTGACATGGATTGGACTTCTATTCACATAGTTTGTCGCTTTGGCTCTAGATTTTTGGAAAACTGAGCTCAGACTTCTTTAATGTAGTTATAAACACTGAACCTCCAACAAGTCCCAGACAACGTAGTTAACTGCTTGTCAGGAATCCATGAGAGATGGCGTATTAGGCCAGAATAATACGAACTTTGTAACAGAGACAGGAAATGTTATCTTTGTCTGTATGCTTGTAGTAGCTACCCTTGAAATTAACTGAAATGTTTAAGTTTAGTGTACTGGACTGCTGTTAGAGGCAAGGTGTAACTTGGAGAAGTATTGTTTGCATAATTAAGCTTTTCTGTTCTGCTTTGTGATGTATATAAATGGTGAGCTGGCAAGCAGGTGCAGCGTCGTGACCTGCTCTCTTGCGTACTGTTACAGGCATGTGTTTCTTGGTGCTACTCTAATAGAACCATCGCTTTTCTTTCACTTGTAGCATACATGTTTGTTTACCTAGGCTCTGACAATCCTTAAGTATTAGCTGAAAATCCACTTAAAATAAAAGAACAAAGACAAACCGCTTAAAAGGCATTGGAATTCTTTTCAAAAATTCTAGCCCATCTTCTAATCCAAGGGTAAAGTGGTCTGAACAAAGAGGAGTTGCAATTTGATGTATGTATATACACAGATGATGCATGAGTATACTACTTGCAGAAATTGGCTTTAATTGTGCCAATTTTCATCCACCGTAAGACACTGACAGAACAGGTTTGTATTTAAGATTGTCGCACTGTTGCAGAAAAAGTACTCAGGAACTTTTAAAAGCTTGAAATGTTGATGGGTCAACCATTTTTCCTTCTTGCTGAAAACACAGTGCTGCACTTTGCTTGGCACGGTGTCCAAAATTTGACCAAAACTAGGAGGAAATCAAGGGCCTGCAGATGTCTTCCAGGTCTCTTACTTTCCCTTGCCATGTTGTAAAAACTGCTTTCAGAACTGAAGAGGTGAAGTCAACCATGCTAGACTGGACCTTCAGTTCACAGAGGGGCAGCAGCTGAGATTGGGTTAGTGCCCTTGACGAACTCAGAAGACTTTCCAGTGAGTCCTTCTCATTAGGTGGCCAAAGTATTGAGTTTCATCTTCAGGATCTGGCCTTCTAAAGAGCAGTCAGGGCTGATCTCCTCTAGGACTGACTGGTTTGATCGCCTTGCGGTCCAAGGGACTCGCAGGAGTCACCTCCAGCACCACAATTCAAAGGCCTCAATCCTTTGGCGCTCAGCCTTTCTTATGGTCCGACGCTCATAGCCATGCATTACAACTGGGACCTCTTCAGTCTACACTTACAGCAGCATGAAGTACTGAAATTAAAATATAAATGAAGCTCAGGGATAATCTCAGGGTATTACTCAGAACAGTTAAGTGGTATTTTGGGGTCAGGATCAAGGGCGAGATGGATAGAGTCAAACACAAAGCAATTCCAAAAAGGAAAACCTGCTTCTGAGTTCGAGAGACCTGCAGTGAGGGACGGGTGTCCTTTCTGTCAGGACAGTGATGACGACACACGACTGGAGGTTCAGTCGGATTGAGAATTCATGGCAAGGCCTGGAAGTTGCCGTTCAGCGCACTCCATCCAACTTGACGGAGCGGAGCTGCAGCCCTCTTGCCACAAAGGACGAGCCAACACTGCCGCGTCCGGATACGCAAAACTGCCAGAGATGTTCCCAAGAAGGCTTGCAGCTGTTCCGTCAGCAACCAGGGACTGCCAGCTTGCTCACGTTTACTGAACTTCTGTGCCACAAAAATATTTTGTGCTGTTGCAGTGCTGAGTTTTTCCTCAACGTCAGGTGCTCACAATGCCAGTTAAATCTATTTCAGTTCTAGGTTGTAGCAAAACAACACGTGGAAAAGTTGAAGTGGGGTGAGCACTTACACAAGGCACTGTAACTGATATGACTGAGATAACCATGCCTGAGATAAGTCTGGCTGGAATGCTGAGCAAATTCCAGCTCCTTTGCAGTGTTTGTGCTGAAATCTCTTAGAAGTCCAGATTGCCCTAGAGAGTTGCAGCTTTTATGTAGGAATAAATAAGATTGTGGTGTATTCTGAAGTCTGTTAAATGTAGTGAAGTGGGGGTGGGTGTCTGAATTTGAACACCCAGAATTTGGTGTAACCCCACCTTTTCCTGTGTTGCTGCAGTGCCGGGCGATCTGGGTAACCAGTTGGAAGCAAAGTTGGACAAGCCTTCCGTGGTGCACTACCTCTGCTTCAAGAAGACCGACAGTTACTTCACATTGTGGCTGAATTTGGAACTGTTGCTTCCCGTTATCATCGACTGCTGGATAGATAATATCAGGTGGGTATGTAGGAATAAATAAGATTGTGGTGTATTCTGAAGTCTGTTAAATGTAGTGAAGTGGGGGTGGGTGTCTGAATTTGAACACCCAGAATTTGGTGTAACCCCACCTTTTCCTGTGTTGCTGCAGTGCCGGGCGATCTGGGTAACCAGTTGGAAGCAAAGTTGGACAAGCCTTCCGTGGTGCACTACCTCTGCTTCAAGAAGACCGACAGTTACTTCACATTGTGGCTGAATTTGGAACTGTTGCTTCCCGTTATCATCGACTGCTGGATAGATAATATCAGGTGGGCTACAGCATTGTTTTAAAAGTGTTGCAGAACTTGCAGCCGAATTATCTGCCGAGAGTAATGAGAACATGGGCTCAAATATCTAATCCTGCTTTGTTTTGCCTTCTTTGTTTTGAAGTTATTTGATGTTTTAGGACTTCAGTCATGGGCTTACATATTTGAATGCTTTGTGGATCAGTAAAATTGCTAAAATAACTCGACTCTAAATGAAAACTTGGCTTGTACCATTTTAATTCTTCTTTGTGTAGCTTCTGCATTGGCACTAGGAATGGTCTGAGAAGCAGAAGTGATCTGAAGATCTACGGGCAGTTTGTACAGACAATGTTTTGCAGTGGCTCCGAGGGAATCCTCATTCAAATCTTGGCTCAACTATTGATCCAGACTAGGGATGCAAAGATCTGGTCTGAATCAGACCGTCTTGTACTTGCTATACTTCTTTCTTGGCCATGAAGCAAGTCAAACAAAGATGCACTTTTTGTGCAAAGTACACAAAGTGTACTCAAGTGGTGTGTGCACAAGCCAGTCCTCGTGAACTCACTTGGACTCACTTCCTGCCGTAGGCCCACGTGAATACTCAGCGTGAGATGGGCTTGGGGCAAAGGGGAGATGGGCAGGAGTTTGGGTAGCTGAACTGAGGAAATCCGACGGATTTCATGCGTAATCACTAACATTTCCTATGTAACATTCAGTCTTGTATGAGGCATGTGATATACTCACCGAGAACAAACAAACAAGGTAGAGCATTTTTAACGTGCAATTCATTGTGGCAACGGTGAGTCATCATAGATGGAAATAACCCAGAGACTATTTAGTTCACACCCTTAAGGCAGCACTTTCCACAGAAGGATCAATTTCCAATTGCTCACATAGTTTGTGTCCTAACATTTGTTAGTGCAGACTTCTGTTGCGTAGCGTTGCTAACCTGAGCCAATGTAGGAAAAGGTACTCGTATTGAGCCATAAGATACTGCCTATTTAAAGGGAAGAAGGCTCTGTGCCAGATCTTAAACTGCTGTTGAAGAATATCAATAAATTGTTAATTTTGGCAGCAGTCAAGTAGTTTGGAGTTTTGCTTGTCACTCAACTTGTACGTATTTTACAGACAACCTCTGTTTTTCTTGCATTTCACAATGGTCTATGAGTTAATGGCATGCTAAGTTTTCCTGTGGAAATGGTAGCCTTCAGATGAGCAAGCTTTACGAAGAGTATGTTGGAGGCCCAAGTGTAGTTTCTCTCGTGCTCCTGAAAAGCAGGTGCAAAACTCAGTGGAGTTAAAAATCATACACATGGAAAAGGCACCAATTACATTGCTCCACTTACTTGCCAGAGTAGGTAATGTAGAGTCATTAATCAGTGGTAGAAGGTAGAAACAAATGTTGGGTGCGCAAGTTGTGAGATTTAATCCAAATGGTTAAAGATACTGGCATTTCATGGTTGGTGGTAACTCCGCTTGTACTTGTTTATATTATGTGGAGTGGAAGGAAGGGGAGTGTTAGTTGCCCAGCGAAACTGCAAAAGATTTGGCTTTCCTTATAACTGTTAACTTGACGGCAAAAGAAGAAGGGGATGGCAGAGGATGAGGTGCCTAGATGGAGTCACCGAAGCAGTCGGCGAGAGCTTAGGTGGACTCCAGGAGACGGTGGAGGACAGGAGGGCCTGGAGGAGTGTTGTCCATGGGGTTGCGATGGGTCGGACACGACTTCGCGGCTAGCAACAAATAACCATTATCGGGGCTTTGTTGAAATAGTCTATTTAACATTGTCTCTCAGTGTCTTAGCCCTTCTTGCTGGCTTTATTGTTTAGGTTTTTCACACTGCACCTTGGTCCCAATCACTGGGAAAAGGCAGGGTACAAATATAATAATTTACATTTACTTTTATTTGTATTATTTATTGTGTTTTCACGCCACTGCATCGCCTGGGGACTCTGGAAGGCTCACAAGAACATTATACTATATCATAATAAAATTTATATTTACTTTAATATTTATATTTATATAAATATTTATATTCAGCATTATAAATATTCACATTAGGAGTCAGTGTGGTGAAGTAGTTAAGAACACAGGGCTGGAACTCAGACGACCTGGGCTCTAGATCCCACTCAGCTGTGCAGCCAATTGTGTGACTTTGGGCTGGTCAGAAACACTCATCCCAACCTACCTCACTGGGTTGTTGTGGTGGTACAATTGAGAACAAGAGGAGAATGATGTGAGCCACTTTAAGCTCTTTAAAAAGGGAAAAGGTGGGATATAAATATAAAAATATAACGAATGCAGATCTCATCTCTATAGACCTGAAGCCAGTGTTTGGGCACTATGTTCTAATGCAGCAGATTGATGCTGCACCTTGTTGGTTTAACATGGGGTAGCTAGAAAAGGAATTTTCAGACCGTTGAGAGCACATATTTTGTGTACCTTGTTACTTCGATGCTGGAGTTACCTTTGCCGCAGGATGTGATTGCTCACCGTTGCCTTGATGTTCATCTTTCTCCTCAGGCTGGTATACAATCAAACTAGCAGAACCACTGGGCCTCCAGATGGGGTCGACATCAGAGTTCCTGGATTCGGACAGACGTTTCCTTTGGAATTCCTCGATCCCAGTAAAAGAAGTGTTGGTATGCATTTTACCCAGTCTTTTATTATCAGAGACTGGACTGCAGCAGCATTTGGAAGTGACATTCCAGAGACCTGCATGCAAAGCATGCAGAATAGCTTCTTTCTCTTAATAAATACGCTTGAACTCAAAACACCCACTTAAAAGTCCTGCTGTTGCTTTTGGGAAGAATCTTGCTTGGATCATTCTGGGTTTTATTTATGTATTTTTTACATTTATCTACAGCCTGACTGCTAAAAAGGCAGTTTGCAACCATTTAAAATGTTTCAAAGCAAGAAAATCTTTAAGGCTTAAAGGAAGAAAAAATAACAAAACCGAAGAAAAGCTCTCTCGAGACTTATTTGTATAATGCTTGCGCTTGATGGAAAGAGGCCCGTGCTTAGAACTTGGGTATGTGCCTTCTGGGGCTTCCTTTGAAAGGCGATGTCAAGCTGTGGCAGCTGGTGGGGGAACAGTGCTGTTCTGATGCTCACCAAGAGCCTGGCACACTTAAAGCTAGTGAACATGGCTCAGGTGTACACATGCCATGAGCACCAGCAGTGCACTGGCCGCCTTCTCTTCTCCAGCAGCCATGATCATGTAGGCCAGCCATGCCCAGCCTGATGCCCGCCAGAACTTGTGGACTACAACTGCCAGCATTCCTGGTTACTGGCTATGCTGGCTGGGGCTGATGGGGTTGAAGTCCGAAGCATCTGGTGTGTACCCAGGTTCTTCTTGCGCTCACTAAATCAGTCATGTGCACCAGCTTTGTGGAAGTCTGAGGCAGACACAACTTGCTTTGGTGTTTCGTTCCATCCTACCTCAGCAGGATGAGGTAGCTCTGACCGATTGCCATTAAACTTGGTTTATAGTGTTGGACTAATAAAGCTCGCTTAATGAACTCACCAGGTTGCAAAGATTCCGTGTCCTCTGTGTTGGTTTTTGATGTTGCATGGCACTTTTTTTTTAAACCAAAGTCCTACTCTAATGATGCTGTTTCATGGAAACGCTTTGAGCTGCTTCCTTTTTCCCAGCAGCAGCAATTCAGTCATTCTGGTTAGAAGAAAAGTTTCTTAACTAGTCTCCTAGTTTGAATAGCAGCTGGTTAAGGTGCTACAAGGCCCTCCCTTTGGTGTAGTCTCCATATGGTCTGGAGCCTTGGTGTCTTCCTAAGGCCATCGTTCATGGTGTGAGACCTTTTTCGTGGTTGGTTTCAGGCAGCTGGGCACAGCAGCTGTGCTCTCCCACCTCAGGGAGGTAAGAGAAGCCCTTTCCACAAATGGCTGAAGTTTGGCTCAGTCCTTTTCAGGTGAATAGCAAGTCATTAGGGTCATTCATTGTCCTTAGGAGGGGGAGGCCCACAGGAGCCAGGCTGACTAGGTGACCCCCTTTCAGGGTGGCTGTGTATGCAGACGTGAGTGTGGCTTGTGTGAGGCAGAACATCCTAAAACAGACCACGAGTCGTTTGCAGAGCCCGTGCTTGGCGAGTTTGCCGGGCGACCCCTGTGCGTGGTTGCATGCTCAGAAGGGTGGTTAAGGTGCACCTGTGGGTCAGGCCGTGCTGCCAGCCCAGTGCTGTCACCACCACATGCTTATTCAGGAACTGACGCAAAAGGATCCTGAACGCTTAAGATCACTCTGGGCAAAGGGCAGTGCTAGTGGCCTCCGGCATTCCTTGATACCCAGTTTCTCTTATCCACAGGTACCTATTTCTACATCCTGGTGCAGACCCTGGTAGACCTGGGCTATCAGCGTGATGAAGATATTAGAGGTGCTCCCTATGATTGGCGGAAAGCCCCAAGTAAATAAAACTTTATTGTGGGAATCGGAGTTACGTAAGCAGGAGGAATCGGACACGTAGTTTTAAAAGGCTTGGTGTAAACGGTGGCTCAGGATCATGCATTTTCTGGGGAGAATAGGGCTGCGCCAAAGGTTGAATTGTTGCCCCTCACATGCTGAGCATGAGCCAACCATGTGATACGGCTGCAAAAAAGCAAATGCTATTTTGGGCTGCAGTAGAGGTCTGACTTCCAAACCTCATGAAGTCCTGTTTCCCCTCTTATTTGGTACTAATTAGGCGCCATCTTGACTATTGTTTCCAGCTCTGGGTGCCAGTTTAAAAAAGATGCAGGAAAACTGGAAGAGGTTCAGAGGTGGTCAGCACAGACGATCAGATGGAAACAAAGCCCTGTGAGGAAAGATTGAAGGAACTCATCATGTATCGCGTGGAGAGAAAACTGAAGGGAGATATGATTGCACATTTCAAATATTTTAAGTTGAATATTTTGATTTGAAATCTAAACATCTGAGGGGAATCCTTTTTTTCAAAGACATTAATAGCCTTTTCTTTATTAAAAAAGACACTGCACCTGAAGAAATAACTATAGGGCTGCCTTGAGATGGTTTACACAAAAGTCCAGGGGGGAAAAAGTACTTGAAATAACCAAAATGGCTGTGCCACAATTTTGGAATGTCTTCTCCACAATGTCAGTTTGGGCTGGCCTTAGGAAATGGGCCTGGTCTAAGAGCTGGTTCTTAGGACCAGCCTCTGAAGGGTCCAGGCTGCCTGAGTGGGTGCCTGATCGGGAATGGCCCCATCAGTTGTTCCCTTTTTTCAGGAAAGTGTCAGTTCCTGTGTTCATTTTTGGGAAAGGATGTTGCCCCATCCCCCGGGCAACAGTTTCAGCTTCAGTTCTGTTCATGACGCAGAAGTGTGCTGGGGTTTTCTGCGAAGCCTGCAGGCAAGCTGGGAACATGAGGTCCTCTGCTATCTGCCCAAATATGTTTGCTGTCCTGATGCAATGGACTGTCACCTGAGAGTTAAAGAGTGGCAGGATCACTTATAAACAGGCCTCAGTGACCTTTATGCATCACAGGTGGCACCACAAGCCAAACAGCTCTGGCTGAGTCGGCGGGGGAGGGGAGGGGAGGGGAGGGGTGAAGGTTGATACCATGCATGTCACTCCGTATCAGCTCCACGCAGTCCTTTCTGTGGAGTCACTTCCCCCTTTAGCTGCCATTCATCAAGTGCTGGGAAGGCGAATGATGAGGGTCCTTTGGAAACCCGCGTTGTCCCTTTGCAGTCTCTCTGCATTGGATTATCTGGTCATGCTCATCATCTGTGCCAATGTGAAGAGAGGCTTTTTGCCTTGCATGGTGGAACTTTAGCCTAAAAGATTTAGGAGACCGAATGCAGCAGGGAGACCTTGCCAAATTGTTGGAGATGCTCTGGTGCAGCTTCTAATCTGCTTTTAATTAAAAAAAATCTATGTGGTCATGAAAGAACCAGTGTGGTGTAGTGGGTCTCGGAAGATCTGGGTTCCGCTCAGGCCATGAGGCTTACGCAGTGGCTTCGGCCCAGTTACCGGCTCTCAGCCTCACCTACCCCAGAGGGTTGTTGCGAGGACAGAATGGAGAGGAAGAGGGCCATGTAAGTTGCCTTGGGAACCTCACGAGAGGAAAACCGGGGATGTATATGTGAGATGATGATGATTCAAGTATAAGGAGGGAAATTGCTTGTATATTTTTATGGTTATACTCTAACATCCTATGACTAGGCTATCATTGAAAGGTATAATCTATAATTTACAGAAATGTAGGTAATGTAGTTAAAACATGTAGTGCTTTTTCTAATTTACAATCAATTCAAGCTGTTTAGATGTGTTATTAAATTAATTTAACACAATACTGTTCCACAAAGATTAAATTAAAATAGGAGGTACTGAACAAACTCATTCAGGTAATTGGATGAATTATTTGCCATGTTTCTTCCAGATGAGAACAAAGAGTACTTCTTGTCCCTCCGGAAGCTGATAGAGACCATGTATGAGGAGTACGGTGAGCCAGTGGTCCTGATTGCACACAGCATGGGGAATATGTACATCCTCTACTTCCTCAGCCATCAGCCTCAAGACTGGAAGGACAGATACATCCGGGACTTTATATCCCTGGGCGCTCCCTGGGGAGGCGTGGCTAAAACTCTCCGTGTGCTGGCATCAGGTATGAATGCGGATGGCTGAGGGCGAGTCACTGAATCGACAGGTGTTTGTGATACCCCCAGTGCACTTTTCTGCACCGCTAGTACATTTTGATCCACGGGGTGTGGGCTGTTGGTGTACGTCCCAGCTCCTGAGCACACTAAGCGTTCCTCGATCATGATCAGTTTCTGTTCCACCCAACAGCTAAAGCTCTCTGGGCAGTTTACAGTACTGGACAGATTGGTAGAAGCACATTTTGTCCTGTTAGAAGTGGACCTTGCAAGCCTAGGCTTAGCTAAACAATAAATATTTTTGCCCCTGTCATTAAGTTAAAAAAATCTTGGAAATGTCCTGCACTGCTCTCTGCTTTCAGGTTCCTCTCCCTCCAACATTTCAAGGTAGTTCTCTTTGTGCAGATATTCTAAGGAATCTATTTAAAGAGCTTTCAGACTCCTTGAAAATAGCCAAGTTTCCTCTCAACAGAAACATGCATAGCCCTGATTGTTGTGGAAAACAACTATAACTCAATATGCCAAATTAAAAAAAAGGACTTGAGAGCAAATAAAAGCAAATACTGCTTTTCACAGAAGTAGCAAACCAGGTGGGAAATTGGTTAGAGCATTTAGATTAAGGTCTAAGACAGGGAGAGACCCCTCTTCAGAGGAGTGTAGCTGAGGAGCGGTATCAAAGAGGTACCTAAGGAAGAAATTTCTGAGCTGACACGTCAGAAATCAATATATCACCAGAGCTGGCATTTCAGTATGAAGCTGCGATGGGAGATGTTAGACCTGCTGTTGGAATCTGCCTGCTTTCTGCTTTTCGCTTTCCACCACGCTTTCTTATTGACAGAATTCCAGTTCACGTGAGCTTGTTCTTTTCAAGTCGATAGGCAGGGTGTGTGTGTAGAGAAGCACTTGTCCCACTGGGTAGCTGCAGCGGAGCTGCTCTTTTGCACACACCTCAGAGAGAAGCCAGGAAGAAATGCTGTTTCCTCAGCCGGGTGAAAGCGATATTGTTGTTGTTAGTTGCGAAGTCGTGTCCGACCCATCGCAACGCCATGGACAGCATTCCTCCAGGCCTTCCTGTCCCCCACCATCCCCCAGAGTCCACTCAGGCTCACACCAACTGCTTCAGTGACTCCATCTAACCACCGCATTCTCTGCCGTCCCCTTCTTCTTTTGCCGTCAATCGTTCCCAGCATTAGGCTCTTCTCCCGGGAGTCCTTCCTTCTCATTAGGTGGCCAAAGTATTTGAGTTTCATCTTCAGGATCTGGCCTTCTAATGAACAGTCAGGGTTGATCTCCTCTAGGACTGACTGGTTTGATCGCCTTGCTGTCCAAGGGACTCGCAGGAGTCTCCTCCAGCACCACAATTCAAAGGCCTCAGTTCTTCGGTGCTCAGCCTTCCTTATGGTCCAACTTTCACAGCCATACATTGCAACTGGGAAAACCATAGCTTTGACTATATGCACTTTTGTTGGCAGGGTGATGTCTCTGCTTTTTAGTATGCTATCTAGATTTGCCATAGCTTTCCTCCCCAGGAGCAAGCGTCTTTTAATGTCTTGGCTGCAGTCCCCATCTGCGGTGATCTTGGAGCCCAGGAAAATAAAATCTGTCACTTCCTCCATTTCTTCCCCATCTATTTGCCAGAAAGTGAGAGGACCGGATGCCATGATCTTAGTTTTCTTAACGTTGAGTTTCAAGCCAACTTTTGCACTCTCCTCCTTCACCCGCATCAAGAGGCTCTTTAGTTCCTCTTCACTTTCTGCCATGAGAGTGGTATCATCTGCATATCTGAGGCTGTTGATATTTCTCCCAGCAATCTTAATTCCAACTTGTGATTCATCTAGGCCCACCTTTCTCATGATGTGCTCTGCATATAAGTTAAATAGACAGGTCGACAGTATACAGCCTTGCCAAACTGGTCTCAATTTTGAACCAATCAGTGGTTCCGTGCCCAGTTCTCACTGTTGCTTCTTGACCCACATATAGGTTTCTCAAGAGACAAATAAGATGGTCAGGTACTCCCATCTCTTTAAGAACTTGCCACAGTTTGTTGTGATCCACACAATCAAAGGCTTTGGCATAGTCAATGAAGCAGAAGTAGATGTTTTTCTGGAACTCCCTAGCTTTCTCCATGATCCAGCGTATGTTGGCAATTTGATCTCTAGTTCCTCTCCCTCTTTGAAACCCTGCCTGTACTTCTGGTAGTTCTCGGTCCACATACTGCTGGAGCCTAGCTTGTAGGATTTTGAGCATAACTCTGCTAGCATGTGAAATGAGTGCAATGGTGCGGTAGTTTGAACATTCTTTGGCATTGCCCTTCTTTGGGATGGGAATGTAAACTGACCTTTTCCTATCCTGTGGCCACTGTTGAGTTTTCCAAATTTGCTGGCATATTGAGTGTAGCACTTTCACTGCATCATCTTTTAAGATTTTGAAGAGCTCAGCTGGAATACTGTCACCTCCACTAGCTTTGCCGTTGCTCAGTCTTCCTAAGGCCCATTTGACTTCACATTCCAGGATGTCTGGCTCTAGGTCAGAGACCACTCTATCATGGTTTTCAGGGACGTTAGGATCTTTCTTGTATAGTTCCTCTGTGTAATCTTGCCACCTCTTCTTAATCTCTTCTGCCTCAGTTAGGTCCCTGCCATTTTGGTCCTTTATCATGCCCATCTTTGCATGAAACGTTTCCTTCATATCTCCAATTTTCTTGCAGAGATCTCTGGTCCTCCCTATTCTATTGTTTTCTTCTGTTTCTTTGCACTGTTCATTTAAGAAGGCATTCTTATCTCTTCTAGCTGTTCTCTGGAATTCTGCATTCAATTGAGTGTATCTTTCTCTTTCTCCCTTGCCTTTCGCTTCCCTTCTTTCCTCAGCTATTTGTAAAGCTTCCTCGGACAGCCATTTTGCTTTCTTGCATTTCTTTTTCTTTGGGATCGTTTTAGTTGCTACCTCTTGTACAATGTTGCAAACCTCCATCCATAGTTCTTCAGGCACTCTGTCTGTCAGATCTAATTCCTTAAATCTATTTGTCACCTCTACTGTATATTCATCAGGGATATGAAAGCGATGTAAAGAAGTAGTAATCCTTGAGGAGGTGATGAGTTTAGAATATTGCAGCAGTAAATGTTTTGAAGCAGGGTGGACAGTTCATATTGGTATATTTCCTTATTTTAAAAAAACCTTGTGAAAAGAACTACTTTAAAAAGGAAACCCTTTCTTTTTACAGCTGTCAAAATTTCCATGCTCTCAAAATAGGGAGTATTTTTCCTTTTTTCCTGAGTACTTAAGAGTCTAGGGAAAGGATGGAAGACACTGGGAACTTTCAGGTTTACACTTCAAAACGGGAAGATCTCACAGTGAAGTGGGTGATATACTCACCTTGTTGTTGTTGTTGTTGTTCAGTAATTCATTCATGTCTGACTATAAGCCATCCCATGGGCTAAATCTCGCTACACTTTCCCATCCGGTGCCACCTCTTTCAGCTGAACTATGCTCTGGCCCGCATCCTTTTTGATTGAGTCTAACTCACCATACCCTTTGGCAAACAAAGGTATTTGTACAGCTCTGATTTTTGGTGACAGCTCACCATTTGACAGCTGTCGAGTGAGAAGCAAAGTAATAGCCTTTTTTCAGCTTTGCTTGTTTGATGGTCGCAACTTGTTCCCGGAGGGCTTCGGCAGCAGTCACCTAGTATGACATGGAGCAGGCAAGAAGATGGTGTTTTGGTCATCCACGTTTTGGTCGTGCATACCCACGAAAGTCTGACGTGAAGTGTTACAAATAACTGCGGCTGTTGAGCTGCATAGCAATTAAAAGCATACAAATAAAAAGCAATGGAAATGTTTATGTTCAAAAAATAAAGGAGGTGACGATGCTTCAGAGGACCTGTTCCATCGTGCCGCTTTGGTCCTTGGAGAGGGTGTCAGTGGCAGAAAGTGTGAAAAGGTGGCGGCAGAGGGGAAAAAAAGTGAAGTGATAGAAAATGGGTTGTAAGCAGAGCCGGGGGAAGATGCGTCCTTGGGATACCCGGTGGAGGACCAAAGGGGAAGGAGTTGGGGGCAGCCCACTGTGTGCGGGATTGTCCAATGCTCTGCGGGTTGTTCCACAAGCAACCCAGCCTCCCAGCCCTCTTTAGGGAAGGCAAGACTTGGATTACAGGAAGCGCTGGAAGTTAGATGACAATTTTTGTAGGAAGGTAGCTTTCCCCTAGTTAATGCCAGCTTGGGTATCAAATATGTGTCCCTAAATCCTTAGGAATGCCAAGAGCTGTTTTCTCAGACATGCCAGTTCTGCTGGCTTGGACACCGTGGCGGAATGCGATGCCTTACTATTTTGACGGCACACTAGAGGAATGTTATGAGAATGTTACATATGAATTTCCACTAAATCCACATGTTCTTGTTATAGTTTTTTAAAGTAATACCAACAGGGGACCCATTATGTCCCGCATTTGGCGGTTCCTGCCCCCATTCACGTTCTGCTTAATTTACAACTTTTGCAGCTGGACAATTTATGACAAATCAGGCACATTAACAAGACGTGCTTTTAATGCCACAGGTGACAACAACCGGATCTCGGTCATCAGCTCCCTGAAGATCAGAGGGCAGCAGAGATCTGCCGTGTCAACCAATTGGTTGCTCCCGTACAACTACACGTGGTCTCCAGACAAGATCTTTGTCAGCACATCGACGGCTAACTATACCCTCCGGGATTACCGCAAGTTCTACACTGACATAGGCTTTGAGGATGGGTGGCTTATGAGGGAGGAGACAGAAGCCTTGGTCTATGAGATGGCTCCTCCGGGCGTCCGCATACACTGTCTCTTTGGCACAGGGGTCGACACGCCCGACTCCTTCTTCTATGACGCCTTCCCGGACAAGGAGCCCAAGACCTTCTACGGCGACGGCGACGGGACAGTGAACTTGCAAAGTGCCTTGCAGTGTAAGAAGTGGGTGGGTCAGCAGGAGCAGGAGGTGCTCCTGTACGAGCTCCCAGGAAGTGAGCATATTGACATGCTCTACAATCCCCTTACCATTTCCTACGTGAAAAAGGTTCTTTTCGGCTCCTGACCACCTTTCCTCCATGGCATCTGGAAGTCTCTTTCAGATTGGGGGAGGACGGTTTTACTGTCTTTGGCCTCTTCTTTTTAAAGCCTGTTTATTTGGCTTGTTGGGCCTTGTCGGAAATCCATTCGATGTCCATTAATGATCACTTGGCTCCTTGATTAGTGCTCATAACACACTGTGATGTCCTGTATCTAAAAGGCTGATTCCAGCCACGTTTAGCTATCTCTAGTGCCACGCCTGGTGTCCATCTGTGTGAAGAGTCTCTTGTGCTCACTCTCCAGGTTGTAGGAAGGTTTTCTCTTTCCGTACTTACTAAGCTGTAACATAAAATGGAGAAAACGTTAGGATTTAACATGCTTGTTCTGAAGGCTTGGGAATACTGGATCATTGCTCCCACTAGAGAAGAAGGCATTAAGAGAAGTCCCAGTAGCAGCTGCTGCAATGACACAGATTTAATAGCACCTTAAGTTGCTGGCATCCAGCCAGGTATGCATGGTTCTCAAGAAGGTAGAGTGCACCTGGGAATTCCTGCTAACCTCTTCTAGCCTTAGGCTGAGTCTGTAAACGCAGGCCTTGCTGGAGCGAGACGGCAGTGACAATGCTAAGGCATTCTTCACTGCGACTTGTCTGTATTGCTAAATTTTGCCCTGCTAGGTAAGAATGACCTTTTTAAGGGTGTGATGTCCATGAATTGTTGCGATCAGTTGGCGGTCACTGGAATAGTTGGCATGCCATTCCTTTTAGCTAAGGCCGGTGCCTGGTCAAGTATTGATTTTAGCCAGACGCATTTGTCCTGGAGTGGCCTTCTGACAGCATTTTGCCTGGAGCATCGCGATGCCAGCCATGCCGCTGCTGTTCCTACAGCCTCTGTTTTGGAGAGAGTTGAATTAGGTTTGCGGTAAGGCGAGCTCTGCCTGGGAATCTTAGCAATTACCGGGTTGCAGGATCACGTCAAGCTCTGCTTTTCTGGCACTGTGGCCTCCTCCTGTATTTCACTGATGCTTTTTCTATGCTGGGAAGATTGAGCCTTGTTGCATACAGCACAATGACAGGCATGGATTTGCTCGTAAGCCAGGTGTCATCGCGTGACTTTGTGTCCATAATTGCAGGAATGTCCCCTGGAAAGAGGCTTGACCTTCCCATGGGAAACCTCTGCAGTGAAGCCCCATTTGACCCCACAACTCTCCCTCTGTTCAGGTGTTGGGGCAGGCATAAACTGACTGCTCCTTTCAGAGCAAATGGATTAAGGTGTTTGCACACGCTGCTTCTTGTCACCCAGGTAAGAGTTTCCTGGTTAGCTTAGCAGAGGAGAAAGCGCAAGGAGGTCCAGCAGTTAATTACATGGTGCAGCCACGCCTTCGAGTTCAGTATGTTGTGAGTACGAGTTACTTCCTAGTCATCTGTCTCCAGTTAGTGAGCCAGTCCATGTGATCCTGTCGCTTCCAGTCCCACTCCAGCTGCATTTGCGCCATCACCCTTGCCCACACGGCCTCCTGTGTTGTCAGACCTGGCTGGCATGGCTTGTAGGGCTGGGTAACTCCTCGTCCAGAACCCACGGACTGTTGTCGGGTCACGGAGCAGCTTGTTAGCCATCCAGCAAGCCACCTTTGCCAGGTTTGGTTGACACGAGAAGCTGTGCCAGTGATGGTCATTATGGCAGTCCTGCTAACATGTGATTGATACATGCAAAATGGCTGGCAAGCTGTGGTGGTGTACACCAGTGCAGAAGGTGGGGCCCCTGTGCACGCTTGGTGTGAGCTGCCTAGTGAGTGTAATCGCCCCTTTTGCGATGTCGGAACTTGACGGTTGGTTGGGCCGACCCTCGGATTGATCGTACAAGTGGATCAAAGGCTGGGAGCCCTCAAACGGGCCGCGGAGTCTGAGTGTTTTGCTAACCCTCCTGGGCCGCGTGTGCCTATAAGATGCCTTGGTGCACTCCTGCAGCACTGTTGGCATTTTTTAAATGGTGGCTGGCAGCGTTGGGGATGGTAACCCATCATAACTCGTGGCATACGGGGCAGGGCATTCCAAACATAGGGCTTCCTTGAGATTTATGCCAAATGCCCAAGTTCAGAGGTCAGGCTGATTGGGTGGTCATAGTGTCATTCCGCTGAAGCGCCTGTTCTTTAACTTAACATTTTTCTCCCAAACTTAAAAACATCTAGATCAATGCTTTACATTTCAAGCATTTTTGCATAATCTTGGTCCTTTGGGGAAAACAAATGCCATCCTCCCCACCCCATTTAAAGTATTCCCCGCCTTTTGGAATATGAAATTTTGGTCACTCAGCTTCCTGTTTTTCAGCAGTGCCAGGAGGCACTTTAAATGCTGTGCACAGGCAGGACCCCTGAAAATTTCCTCCAGACATCCTTTCACGCCATGTACCTGGATGCTGCCTCCTTAAGCCGCATCTTTGAACTGTCAGCGTAACTCTTTTCCTTTAGCTGTAGTTGCACCTATAGTTTTGTCTAGATCTCGTTGCAGCTGCAACCCGCTAAACTGCCCTAATTATAGCCCTGATTTTGGCCACCAATCTGGTTTTACCTGGTCTGTCAAGATACCCTCTACGCTCCCCTTGCCTTTACAATAACTGCAAAGTTCCATCATTCTGGGTGCCATGTGGGTGGCTGGAGCTAACATTCTCCTGAGGGCAAAGCAGAGCTTGGTTGTTGGTTTTGCAGATCCAGAGGAAAGATCCACAAGAGGAACATCCACTTCAAAGCAGCTTCCAAAAGTTGCTGCTTGCCGAAGTGGACTATATGACAGAACTGAGTGAGGAGAATCCATCCGTGGAAACAAGTACGTGATCTTTATTCAATAACCTGATAATGGATACGTTGCAATTTATGCAGGGTCACCCATGCGCTGGGCATTTGATGGGATAACAGGAAGTTCTGGCCCATGGAGCTTCCCATCTTAACTTTCAACAGAATGAGGGGAGAGAGGAGGAGGTTGGGCTAAGAAAAGAAGGTGCTCAGCTGGCCTGCGTTCTGCAGCCTTTCAGCACCGTTGACTCCTGCCATTGTGCCCTGCTGAATGCTTAACAGTGCAGCAACTAATTCCCAGTCCCGTTTCACAGGGCTGCCTGCATTTCTTTTCTCCAGCTTGCTGAATGTCTCAGCGGGCCTCCGCAGGTGGCTTGGCTGGGCAGGGAGAGTTTTGCTCCCTTCTTAATACTCGCTTTAGGATCATGTCATGCCTGCTTTGTTTTATAGCAGTGTATGCAAAGATGTTCAGCTGCTTTTTGCCCTTTGCTGTCAGCCTTCTTTGGACTCCAGGTCCTGAACCCTTTGTGACAGTGCAAGACGAGAGGAAAACCTTTAACACTCGCCATTCAATACTGTGAATGATGCCTGTCCAGAAACGCAATAGGCACACTTGATGCTTTGCAGTGCCCCCAAGCTTTTTGTAGATCTGGGCGAGGATCCCGCAAATTGTGCCACTACTTGGATGGAACCTGGTTTTGTTCCTGCGTCCTGCCATGCTGGTTTTGAAACTTTAGATCAATTTGTTTGGGCATCAGCTGTTCAAAGCATCAGATTTCCAGCCGCCCTCACGAGTTTTGTTGATGATCTTACAATATCATTTTGGTGCTGCTAACTAGGAGAACTCGAGAGGAAAACATTCCCCTTTCCTCTTAAGGGCATCTCATCCAATTCCCGGGAGTTACACATTTGTCTTGTCTGCATATCCATGCAGCATTCTTCCCAGGTGTTTTTCAAAAACCAAAATGCTTTCTGAGGACCAAATATATTGTTTCTGGTGCAGCGTGGAGAGACAATGCTGGATGGAATTTCAGCTTTTTTGTTGGTTTGTTTTTATAAATATAGTGCTACTGCATAGAATCAGGGTCACTGTGTGATTCTGCTAGGAAGGGTGGACTTCACCACTGAGCAATAAGTGCAAAGGAGTTTGTAGGCCAAAGTCGAGAACTCTTGCCATTAAGCTTGTTTGTGAAATGCATAGTATTTGAGATACTCCAAAATTCAGGGACTGCATGATTACTTTGTTGTTCTCTGCTTAACAGTATTTTGTATTGAACACTGCCTGGTAAGGCCTGTTCTTTTTATATGCACTTTCCTCCTTTGTGTATGAATATAAAGTTCAGCAGATTTGTTGCATATTTGATTGTCATACTTTGATAACATAATAAAGTTGATCAAAAGCTACATGTTTCCTGTGTCAGCAGGCAGTCTTACCTTGTTTGGTTACTTTCGGTTATTGCAAAACAGCATCATAATAGGCTGCAACCCTGAATGACAGTTTCTGCTTGTTTATCCTGTTTCCTGTTAAGGGGTTTAGGGCTTCCCTCTTTCTCATTTGTCACAGTGAGAGGTAGGTTAATCTGGGATACGTGACTGGCTGACTGGTTGCTCAGAATCGACATGTCTGAGCAAGCATTAAAATGTGGGCACTTCAGCAGTGCAGTACCGCAAGTTTGGATTCAGCAGATTCGAAGAGTGCTGGCCACATCAAAGCTGCTGTTGGGCGGGAGACAGTTTGACTGCCCCTTTATTATTTATTTGCTATGTTTGTATCTTGCCTGTGTTCCTGTAAGCAATGCAAGATGGCTGACAAAATCCTCTCCATTTTGTCTTCTCAACCATCCTGTGAGGTAGGCTAGGCCAAGAGTCAGCAACTGGGCCATAGTCCCCCAGTGAGCCTCATGACTGAGCGGGGATTCAGGCCTGCATTTCCAGGGTCCCTAGCCAGCCATTCTAACCATTATGCTGCACTGCCTCTCCCTTGTCCCTGTGTCTAAGACCAGCCTTGTGAAGACACTAAAGTCGCTAGCCTGAGTCTCTGTTTAACCAGCTAAGAGGGTGCGTCACTGTAGATAGACTCAAGATTAAAGAATAGCCATGCGTAACAGTGCTTGGCACAAATACTGGGTTTTCTGCATCTTGCTGTGTTGCAGCCTGAAACTGAGTTAACCGGTATCATTTCTACTTCATGTATACAAGTTACGCAACACAGTGAAGGTACAAAATATTTATTGAGACACAAAATGTAAAGGAAAAAACTGAAAAAACACTTTTTATGTATGCACAGGCTGCAAACACTTGCCACACAAAGCACCATCTTTGATTACCTTAGTAATGGGGAGTTTCTAAAATCCAATGAGCTTCCTTGGCAATACGCCCCGGTTGCCTCTTCCGGACTGTTGGCCTTGGACAGTCTCGTCCTCCATGGCCCTGGCACTTCGAAAGTGTTATTCAGTGACGCCCTCCACCTTCCCAGGGCTAGCTAACTTGGAATCTGATTGGCCATTTTGTCACCCTAGTGGTATTGCGGATGATACCAAGGTGAGGCAGTGGCCACAACTGAGGAGCAGGTGATCCAGATGCAGAAGGATCTGGACAGGCTGCGGAAGTGGGCGGGGGACAACAGGATGGCCTTCAATGCGGATAAGTGCAAGGTCTTGCCCTTGGGACACAGGAATAGGTGCCAGAGGTACAGGATGGGGGACAAGTGGCTGGAGAGCAGCACTTGTGAACAGGAGCTGGTTGGCAGCAGGCTGAACATGAGCCGGCAGTGTGATGTGATGGCTGAGAAGGCACTCTCACGGTAGGGTTGGTAGAAGCGGTAGGCCAAAACCATCTGGTGGGAGACAAGGCATTGTGCTTGGTCACTTCTTGCGTCAACGGAACTGCTGGGAAGGCGTTAGCCAAAGGAAATAGTTGAGCTATCTGTGGCAAAGATGAGGACCTGCGCTAATCCAGCTGGTGGGGGCTCGGCGGTGCGGCTTTGTGAAATCGGGGAGCTTCTTTCCAGCGTTTTGGCAGGGCAGGGTCAGCCTCCCCAGAACACACAAGTCCAAGTGCCAAGTTCCGCCTCTTGGACTCTTCAGTGGCTCAGAATAAGCTCCTGTGCCAGGGCAGAGGGAGAAGGGGCCTCCCGCATTTGAGTGATCCATCGATTGATTTACATGCCACCCCCTAGCCATAAGGCTCTCTGGGTAGTTCATCATATGAAAATGCATAGATTACATAAAACAGTACAAAGCACAACATGTGCCACCCCCTAGCCATAAGGCTCTCTGGGTAGTTCATCATATGAAAATGCATAGATTACATAAAACAGTACAAAGCACAACATGTCAATGCACAATTACAAAGGACCAGTAACGGTAAAAACCAACATTCGACAGGCAAGGCCAGTCCTTTGTTTCTTCAGGCTTGAGGTTGATGTAACACATGTTTGGAACAGAATGTAATCGGTCTTAGAGCAGCAGCATTGCCAAGGCATTGCAACAGGCCTCTTGTCAGGCGGCAGCTGTTGTGTTCTGTGTTTCCAGGAAAGAGCTGGTCATAAGATGTTCCTTGTGCCCAGAGATTCTGGGTCAATGCTTCCTAGTGGCGCCTTATTTAGCAGCACTTCGTCTGGCCGATCATCCCAGAGCTCAGGGCACAGAATAACCTAAGAAAACTTCCTCAAGTTTCAGGAAGCTGGATTCAGGCTAGATGTCAGGGAAAAGTTCCTGACTTGGAGCAGTACGACAATGGAGCCAGAGACCTAGGGAGGTGGTGGGCTCTCCTACACTGGAGGCAACTGGGCAGCCATCCAAGAGGATGGTCTAACTGGGAGTCCTGCACTGAGCTGGGGGTGGCACCTGATGGCCCCTTCCAGCTCTCCTAGGATTCTTGATTTTATGACTGGTGAATGTTAACTTTTAAGGACCACGTTAGATGCCATATTACTTGAGTGGGTGCCATGAATGTGGCATGTTTTTAAAGTTTGTAAATAGTACATGGGTGGGTGGAAATCCCATCTTCCTGAAAGGTATTTCTGCCACCCTTCGTGGAGAAAATGTGCATATGCTAATCCACATGTGCTCCACATGGGTCTCTTTAAAGGGTCTTGTCTCCTGAGGACGTGCCTATTTGTAAAAAGGGACAGATGCACAGGGAAGGGCACTTGGCTTCATGGGGGGACTGCAAGCCGGACGATTCAAGGGTGAGGGAGCCACATGAGCAAAGAGCCAGCTAATCTGGGGGCATCAGGTGTGTGAGTGGAATTACACGTCCTCTTTCTCACCTAAATTCCCCCTGCTGCTCAGGTCCCCCTTTAGCAATTACCATTTTTTAAAAACCCTGTATTTGCATAATTAACCTTGCACCTCCATGATGATGGTGCCCAACTTGTGGGATTCCCTTTTTAGATATACTGACCCCATACCATTTTTGTCTCCTTTTAGGTACCAGCCAAAGCTATTCTCTAATGGATTTTAGTGATATTTGTCTCTCTTTGTTGCCCTTTGCTATAGCAACAACAGGTGTTAGTAATTTTAATCTGCAGGATGGCAGTTTTACTTATTTATCATATCTCTGCTGTTTTTGTAATTTTCATTATGTTTGCATTCTTTGTTGAAAGCTGCTTGAAGGTGATCTTGTGAAGATGGAACACAAATATTTATTTGTGACACTTGTCTGCAGCTTCGTTAACATCCTTGACATGGTTTACAATAGACAACGATTTAGCAACGTAAATATACATAAAAGACCTCACACCCGTAAAATCAAAAGCCACATGCAACATGAGAGCAAAAACAGGCTCACAATGCTCCAAAATTAAATGCACACATTTTAAGAAGGAGAAGCCTGGGCTGCATGGGCAGTGGGACATTAAGTGGGTTCATGAGCCCTTCTTCTCCATATCCTCTCGCACGGCACGGCTCCCACCATTTTGCAGTCATAAATGCATGTGTACTTACACCAAGCATCACTTCGTAACCCACGCCCACCCATCGTACCCAAGACTCCAGAAGGTAATTGGGTTGTATTCAAAGGGTGCTTATAGGTATACTCTTCCCGGCTTCATCCATGGAATTGTGCGGGGGACCTGTTCACACCTTCTCTGCTTGAACCCCCACTCCCGTGAGCCATGAGATCCATCAGTGGGAATCAGGTACAATCAGTGGTTGGGATCAGAATGGAGACAGATGCAAAATGGAGGCCAACTCAGTTTGCAGCTGGATGTCAACACATCTGGAAGGCACCAGGCCGGGGAAGGTTGCTTCACCAGCTTAGTTTAAGCAGGGTTATTATTATTATTATTATTATTATTATTATTATTATTATTATTATTATTATAACATTTCTATGCCGCCCCTTGCCGAAACCTTAAATTCACATTCGCATTCCCCAACACAACACATTCTTACAGGTCTTGGTTGTTTGCTTTACTCGCAAATACGCACTCTAACGCTGGGGCTTGTTTCAGGGTTGTGGGTCACTTCCACTGGCCCTCTTCTGCAGCGGGGAGGCTAGCTGGGACCCTCCTGAGGGCAGATTTGCCCCAGCACTTCCGCTTGGTGGTCCCCGTCCATCGAATTCACCCGTGCCATCTCAGCTTCATGCAGACTTCCACACTGCCGGCTTTCCCCACCTCCCTCCCTCCTTTTTTGGAAGGTTTTGCTTGATGAACAGCTATGGAAATCTCCAAAGCTTGCTGAGATTTTTGTGCACAGGTGGCTGGTCCTCATAAAGGCATTGCCTGGCTTTAGATTTTGGATTTTTTTTCTTATGGGCATCAGCACTGATGACTTTGTTTTATAAGGTAATTTGGAATGTACTGAATTTTTCAGTTCAAAAGCAGAATTCCACAATGGTAGAATAATGGTATGCCCCACCCAAAGATGGGACTTTATTCTTTGAACTACCAAGTACAGCTGCATCTATTTAAATTGGTGGCCCCTCCTCCACTCCACTGTAGGATTCTGACCCAAAGTTCATCATCACATGTTCTCCTCCTCTCCCCCTCCTCCCTCCTCCCCGGTGAAGAATTCTGTAAGATCCTGACAACCCACAATTTTGTAGATTTTGGCTTGTCCTAATACAGCCATTGCCCAACTGTGGATCTCTTCTTCCAATGGACCAATTTGACTTCCTTTGTTTAATCCGTAAACGTACTTGGGTGGCTGAGTCAAACTTCCTTCTGCACCCAGCAGAGTGCAGCACTTCACCTGAAACGCGGGAATATTGAAGATCTAAGATGGGCGCCACCTACAATGAAAGGTGAGGAAAGACGCCAAGGGAATGTCTGACGGAGGCTACAGCTACCTGTGTGTATTATTTATATGGTGTGTGCTTACACCCGAGTCTTGGAAAATTGATAAGAAGCAAAGACACTGCCCACAGACTCGCAGCCTTTCGAGTCGGCTGAGAAGAGGATGGCGGGGAGGGCGAGCAGCAAGCGGCCGGGAGCGCGTGGGCGAAGAGGGAGGCGGACGGGGGTGCTTCGGGTGGGCGAGCGGAGAGGGGAAGGGCGGCAAGGGGGCGAACGCTCCTGAGCTGCGTGGCACGAGTCAGTCGTTAGCAGCGGGCCTGTTCTTGTTGCTTTTTGCAAACGAAAGTTGAGCTACGAAAGGGACCGCAAAAGGTTAAGGTGATTCCTTTAATTCAGTTTAACTAGACGAACGGAATGGGAGAGGGCAGCCTTCCCCAGCCAGGCACCCTCCAGATGCTTGGGACTAAAGTCTGAGCTGTCCGTGGAGCGGGGACGGGAAGGGCTTCTCTCGGCCCCCCAGGCCGGAGGTGTCCCTCGCTGCCTCCTCCTCCTCCCCCCGGGCCGAAGCGGAAAGCGGCCGCGTCGCAGGCCGCTCGGGCACTTTGCGGGCGGCAGCCCAGCGCTGTCCCTCCGGCGCGGGAGCTTTGCAGCCTTTCAGGGCGGCGTCGAGCGTCCTCTGCCAATACGCGGAACCCGCAGGCGCTGAGTGGGGCGGTGTGTAAGCCGGGAGGCCGAGGGGATCCAGGGACCCCCACCCCCACCCCACGGCTTGCTGCTTTTGAGACTCTGCGTTGCCGGTTCCAGTCGCCCTGAGCAGGGGCTGGTAACTGAGGGAGGACGAGCATCCTGGGGGCACAGGGGGTCCCCCCAGACCCTGTCCGAGCTTGGGCACAGTCCTCCGTGCACAGAATCGGGCCTCGGAGGAGGGATCCCCCGCCCTTCCCGGTCGGCCTGGAGGAACCGCAGCAGCTGCCTCTCCGAGACGCGAGAGCGACCTTGGGCGAAGCGGCGCGGAGTCAGAATCGCGCCTCGGCTGCGCCGCTTTGCGTCTGGCTGGACATTCAGCCGGTGCGCAGGAGCGGCGGGGGCTTTCCACGGAGGAGCCTGCGCGGCGGGGCCAGTGCGAGGCCTGCTTTGTGGGCCTTCGTCAGGGTGCCGTCGGGGCAGCGGATGCCCCGGGCCCGCTCAGAGAGTGAGCGCGCCCTGGCAACTTCCAGGTTGGGCTCTCGGAGCCCGCTCGGCACGGGGCGGCCCTTGAGGACGGTCTGGATGGTTCAGGACAGAGCTGCCGCGAACGGGGATCAGCCAGTTTGTTTGTTTGTTGATTGATCGCAAACACTTGTATCCCGTCCTTCTGCACAAGCATTGTATAAAATTACAAAAATACTATAATAAAACCAGAATGATGAAAAGCATATAAAATTGAACATTATAAACTAAAAAATAAGAAGGGAAAATAAAATAGGAAGTGCGACTGTGAAAACAGAAAAGAGAACAAAAAATCTTAAAACATCTAAAGCCCTTGATTATTAAAATGATGGCTGAATAAAAAGGTCTTTACCTGGCGCCAGAAGGAGTACAACGCCGGCAGCAGGCAGACCTCTCTGGGGAGCGCATTTCGTAGTCTGGGCGCCACTGCGGAGAAGGTTTTCACATGTAACACCAGTCCTCTCTCACTTACACTGGCTGCCAATTGAAGTCCGGGCCCAATTTAAGGTGCTGGTGATGATCTATAAAGCCCTAAAGGGCTTGGGTCCGGGATGCCTGAAGGCGCGCCTTCTCCCCGATGTGCCCTCCTGCCCCTTGAGATCTGAGGCGGAGGCCCTGCTCCAGGAGCCCTCCTCGAAGGAGATCAGGACGGTGGCTACTCGGGGAAGGGCCTTCTCTGTGGTGGTGCCCAACTGGGGAATACACTCCCCAGAGAGGTCTGCCTGATGCCCACATTATATTCTTTTCAGTGTCAGGTGGAAACCTTTTTATTTTCCAGTCATTTTAATGTTTAATTGATTTTAACTGAGGTTTTAATATTTCACGGGTCAGATGCTGTGGTGTTTTGTTTTATTCTACTCGTTTTTATTGTAAGCCATCCCAAGGTGCTAGTGGGGGACAGGGTAGAAAAGCTTTTCATAAATAAACGAATAAATAAATGAGCAGGAGCCCCCCAAATGCAGCTGGGCCGGCTTGGCAGATTGGGAAGGGAGGGAGGAAGCGGAGTGTCCTGCCCCCATCCCAGAGGGCCATGTGTGCCCAGCAGTCCGTCCAGCCTGGAGTCCAATGCACAGGCGGGCAACCTGCAGTCCACGGGCTGCCAGCAACCATGGCTGCTTGTCATGTGGCCCCAGAGGGACCTGGGCACCTTCTCACACCGTCCCGCTCCACACCACCACCTGAGTGCAGGGGAGCAAGAGAGCAAGAGGGGAAGAGGGGAGCCTGGGACACCTCGCCTCGCCACATCCTCTGCGGGCTCAACTGCTGTTTCCGTACTGCTTTTGGAAGAGGCCTTTCATTTGCCCTTGTCACCTGCCATTTCCGCCAGTGCATCTTTCTCGCTGGCGGTCGGCAAGCAGACGTTACCCCCCCGGCATCCCTTCCTTGCCTTCCATGGCTAGGCCTTTTGGAACAACTCGCCTTCCATCTCTAGGCCCTTCGCTGCATCCCGTCGCCGTGGCGCTTAGCCGTGGGGGAGCACTGCGTTTCGGTTTTGCCTTCACCTCCGCCATGCGGCGTGGCTTGCTGGACCCCATGGGCGTTGACGCACCAGAAGGCTGATCCAATATTGACTCTGCCCTTTCAAATCCATGGGAGCAGAGCGGCATTTGCCTTGGGAGAGGACTAGCACCGTTTGATTGATCATCACAGTGGCGCAGTAGAAAGCGCTGATGTCAACAGCCGGGGGGCAAAGGGCCAGGGCTGCATCCTGCAGGGCGCTGGCCTGGTCCCTGGCAAACAGGAGGAGGGGGCAAAGGAACCCAAAGAGCCTGCCAGGAAGACAAGAGGGGGCCAGGCCAATGTGGGGATTGGAGCCAAGCTTGGGAACTGAGGTTCAAGGTGGATGCCAGGAGGTTCTTCCTGTGGTTAGGTCCCCCTGTGTATGGAACGGGCTTCCACAGGTTTTGGTTGGGGCCCCCTCGGCGAGGGTGTCCAAGGATAGGCTGGACACGCACATGGTGGGCATGTCGTGAGTGGAGCTGGCTGGAGCCGGGGGTCAGACTAGATGGCCCGGGAGACCCCTTCCAACTCACTGTTGCTATGGGTCCGCAGGACTTGACAAGCAAGGGGGCTTGCCACCTGCCTCCTATCCAAAAGCTGTTCCCCGGGCAGGACCAGCCCCGCTGCAGGGTCACCAACTCCCGGCTCCTGCCTGTGTGGCTTAGTCATAGGGTGGGGTCAAATGCCGAGGGGTTGGGCACTCTGCCTCCTGGTGGTCTCCCCAGGAGCAGGAGGCCCAGGCAGCTCCCCCAGGCACCCCCCGACTCCCTTCTGCGCTTTGGGCTCAAGCCCATTTGTGCAGCCGAGACTGTGTTTATTTAGTTAAAACATTTGTATGCACCCGAATGTGCCACAACACCTCTGGGTGGCTCACAACCATGAGATAACTACACAATAAAAACACAATAAAGCCATAACACATTAAATGAATGTGTAACATATACAAAACAAAGGTCTGTGGCAGCTAGTTATTAAAATGTCCTTTAAAGAGGAAGGTCTTTGCCTGGCACCACAGAGAAAGTGAGGGAGGCGCCAGGTGAGTCTCCTCGGGGAGAGCACTCCAAACAGCCGCACAAGCCCGGCCCGGCCCGGCCCGGCCCGGCTCAGCCGCCCGTCTGGCCGCTGCCGAGAGGGGCCTCCTTGCTCCTCGCAGCACCTCCCGTGATGCCCCCGGGGAGGAGGGGGCAGGCAGGGAGCGCAGCAGTGGGCGTGGCTCATCATGGGTGCTCGGCACGTCCCAGCAGCCGATCGTGCTGGTTCCATGATGGGTTAGCGTTGTGTGCAAGCCCACCCACGATCTGGCTTGCTGCAAACCCGCACTGGAGATGCAGCCTGGCTTCAGTGTTGGAGCACCTGCTTTGCACCCAGAGCCTCCAAGATGCAACCCCCCGTCTCTGATTAAGGTGATCACGTACCTACCAGGTGCTGGGAAAGACCTTCTGTGTGAGCCCCTGGAAAGCCGCTGTCAGACTAGAAAGTGTCAGGCAAGGTCAATGGCTGTTCCAGCTGGCCCTGCGAAATCCTTCCCTTTGGCATTTCTTAGATCATCATTCTCCTGTCTGCTTTCGACTAGAATTGGATTTTATGTAAAGGTATTCAGATACATTTGCATGCACTGGAAAAAGTGCAGCTCCCCCACAATGCATTTCCTTGGCTTTAGAAAGTGGGAAAAATGAACACTCTTAGTTACTGATCTTTTTAGTCTTCGTATTTTTCTATGATTAAATTTGCTTAAAATTATGGAACATTTAAAAAAAACTGGCTTGCAAAACTGTGGATTCTGCACTTCCTAGGAAATGCCAGTCTGGTGTGGAATACGCAGGATTCTAGAAATACAAACCCATTTAAATCAGTGGCAAATTTCTCCAATAGCTTTAAATATGTTATATTTATATTCACCCTTTGAGCAAGATCTCCAGCAGAATGCGAGGAGTGGGATAGTATTTACATAGCAGAGGTTCCCAAAGAAGCTTTAACAACAACAGAGATACCAAAAAACTTACAGCAGAGGATATCAAAAATACACACGCGAGCACGTTCTTCGAGACAGTGGATGCAATTGGAAGCCAGTCCCGCGCAAATGCTTTCTGCAGGAAAAGAGGGTGAGCCCTTTTCCATTTGGTGCCTTTTCGTTTTCACAGGCATCTTAAGAGAGGGCCTCTGACCGCAGCAGCATCGTTGCCGTCTTTAGCACTGCTTTGGTCTTGTTAAGCTTTTTAAAAATGTTTCCACTGGGTCTGTAAGCTGCCTTAAGAAATGTTTGAAAATCTAGAGTATAAATTTAGAAATTATTTTAGAA